CGCTGTACAGAAGCTTTTCAGCTTAATGTAGTCCCACTTGCTCATTTTTGCTGTTGTTTTCCTTGCCCGGGGAGATATGTTCAAGAAGAGATCACTCATGTTTATGTCTAAGAGGTTTTTGCCTATGTTTTTTTCCAAGAGTTTAATGGTTTCATGACTTACATTCAGGTCTTTGATCCATTTTGAGTTTACCTTTGTATATGGGGTTAGACAATGGTCCAGTTTCATTCTCCTACATGTAGCTGTCCAGTTTTGCCAGCACCATCTGTTGAAGAGACTGTCATTTTGCCATTGTATGTCCATGGCTCCTTTATCAAATATTAATTGACCATATATGTTTGGGTTAATTTCTGGGGTCTCTAATCTGTTCCACTGGTCTGTGGCTCTGTTCTTGTGCCAGTACCAAATTGTCTTGATTACTATGGCTTTGTAGTAGAGCTTGAAGTTGGGGAGTGAGATCCCCCCTACTTTATTCTTCTTTTTCAGGATTGCTTTGGCTATTCGGGGTCTTTGGTGTTTCCATATGAATTTTTGAATTATTTGTTCCAATTCATTGAAGAATGTTGCTGGTAATTTGAGAGGGATTGCATCAAATTTGTATATTGCTTTCGGCAGGATGGCCATTTTGACGATATTAATTCTTCCTAGCCATGAGCATGGGATGAGTTTCCATTTATTAGTGTCCCCTTTAATTTCTCTTAAGAGTGACTTGTAGTTTTCAGAGTATAAGTCTTTCACTTCCTTGGTTAGGTTTATTCCTAGGTATTTTATTCTTTTTGATGCAATGGTGAATGGAATTGTTTTCCTGATTTCTCTTTCTATTGATTCGTTGTTAGTGTATAGGAAAGCTACAGATTTCTGTGTGTTAATTTTGTATCCTGCAACTTTGCTGTATTCCGATATCAGTTCTAGTAGTTTTGGAGTGGAGTCTTTAGGGTTTTTTATGTACAGTATCATATCATCTGCAAATAGTGACAGTTTAACTTCTTCTTTACCAATCTGGATTCCTTGTATTTCTTTGTTTTGTCTGATTGCCGTGGCTAGGACCTCCAGTACTATGTTAAATAACAGTGGGGAGAGTGGGCATCCCTGTCTGGTTCCCGATCTCAGTGGAAATGCTTTCAGCTTCTCGCTGTTCAGTATAATGCTGGCTGTGGGTTTATCATATATGGCCTTTATTATGTTGAGGTACTTGCCCTCTATTCCCATTTTGCTGAGAGTTTTTATCATGAATGGATGTTGAATTTTGTCAAATGCTTTTTCAGCATCTATGGAGATGATCATGTGGTTTTTGTCTTTCTTTTTGTTGATGTGGTGGATGATGTTGATGGATTTTCGAATGTTGTACCATCCTTGCATCCCTGGGATGAACCCCACTTGGTCATGGTGTATGATCCTTTTGATATACTGTTGAATTCTGTTTGCTAATATTTTATTGAGTATTTTTGCATCTACATTCATCAGGGATATTGGTCTGTAATTTTCTTTTTTGGTGGGGTCTTTTCCTGGTTTTGGTATTAGGGTGATGTTGGCTTCATAGAATGAGTTTGGGAGTATTCCCTCTTCTTCTATTTTGTGGAACACTTTAAGGAGAATGGGTATTATGTCTTCTCTGTGTGTCTGATAAAATTCCGAGGTAAATCCGTCCGGCCCCGGGGTTTTGTTCTTGGGTAGTTTTTTGATTACTGTTTCAATTTCTTTGCTTGTAATTGGTTTGTTTAACTTTTGTGTTTCTTCCTTGGTCAGTCTTGGGAGGTTGTATTTTTCTAGGAAGTTGTCCATTTCTTCTAGGTTTTCCAGCTTGTTGGCATATAGGTTTTCATAGTAGTCTTTAATAATTCTTTGTATTTCTGTGGAGTCTGTCGTGATTTTTCCATTCTCATTTCTGATTATGTTGATTTGTGTTGACTCTCTTTTTCTCTTAATAAGTTGGGCTAGAGGCTTATCTATTTTGTTTATTTTCTCAAAGAACCAGCTCTTGGTTTCGTTGATTTTTGCTATTGTTTTATTCTTCTCAATTTTGTTTATTTCTTCTCTGATCTTTATTATGTCCCTCCTTCTGCTGACTTTAGGCCTCATTTGTTCTTCTTTTTCCAGTTTTAATAATTGTGATGTTAGACTATTCATTTGGGATTGTTCTTCCTTCTTCAAGTGTGCCTGGATTGCTATATACTTTCCTCTTAAGACTGCTTTCGCTGCATCCCACAGAAGTTGGGGCTTAGTGTTGTTGTTGTCATTTGTTTCTATATATTCCTTGATCTCTATTTTGATTTGTTCATTGATCCATTGATTATTTAGTAGCATGTTGTTAAGCCTCCATGTGTTTGTGAGCCTTTTTGTTTTCTTTGTAGAATTTATTTCTACTTTCATACCTTTGTGGTCTGAAAAATTGGTTGGTAGAATTTCAATATTGTGGAATTTACTGAGGCTCTTTTTGTGAGCTAGTATGTGGTCTATTCTGGAGAATGTTCCATGTGCACTTGAGAAGAATGTATATCCTGTTGCTTTTGGATGTAAAGTTCTATAGATGTCTATTAGGTCCATCTGTTCTAGTGTGTTGTTCAGTGCCTGTGTGTCTTTACTTATTTTCTGCCCGGTGGATCTATCCTTTGGGGTGAGTGGTGTGTTGAAGTCTCCTACAATGAATGCATTGCAGTCTATTTCCCTCTTTAGTTCTGTTAGTATTTGCTTCACATATGCTGGTGCTCCTGTATTGGGTGCATATATATTTAGAATGGTTATATCCTCTTGTTGGACTGAGCCCTTTATCATTATGTAGTGGCCTTCTTTATCTCTTGTTACTTTCTTTGTTTTGAAGTCTATTTTGTCTGATATTAGTACTGCAACCCCTGCTTTCTTCTCACTGTTGTTTGCCTGAAATATGTTTTTCCATCCCTTGACTTTTAGTCTATGCTTATCTTTGGGTTTAAGGTGAGTTTCTTGTAAGCAGCATATAGATGGGTCTTGCTTTTTTATCCATTCTATTACTCTATGTCTTTTGATTGGTGCATTAAGTCCATTTACATTTAGGGTGACTATTGAAAGATATGTACTTATTGCCATTGCAGGCTTTAGATTCGTGGTTACCAAAGGTTCAAGGTTAGCTTCTTTAGTATCTTACTGCCTAACTTAGCTCGCTTATTGAGCTGTTATATACACTGTCTGGAGAGTCTTTTCTTCTCTCCCTTCTTATTCCTCCTCCTCCATTCTTCATATGTTGTGTGTTTTGTTCTGTGCTCTTTTTAGGGGTGCTCCCATCTAGAGCAGTCCCTGTAGGATGCCCTGTAGAGGTGGTTTGTGGGAAGCAAATTCCCTCAGCTTTTGCTTGTCTGGGAATTGTTTGATCCCACCATCATATTTAAATGATAGTCGTGCTGGATACAGTATCCTTGGTTCAAGGCCCTTCTGTTTCATTGCATTAAGTATATCATGCCATTCTCTTCTGGCCTGTAGGGTTTCTGTTGAGAAGTCTGATGTTAGCCTGATGGGTTTTCCTTTATAGGTGACCTTTTTCTCTCTAGCTGCCTTTAAAACTCTTTCCTTGTCCTTGATCCTTGCCATTTTAATTATTATGTGTCTTGGTGTTGTCCTCCTTGGATCCTTTCTGTTGGGGGTTCTGTATAATTCCATGGTCTGTTCGATTATTTCCTCCCCCAGTTTGGGGAAGTTTTCAGCAATTATTTCTTCAAAGACACTTTCTATCCCTTTTCCTCTTTCTTCCTCTTCTGGTATCCCTATAATACGAATGTTTTTCCTTTTGTATTGGTCACATATTTCTCTTAGTGTTGTTTCATTCCTGGAGATCCTTTTATCTCTCTCTATGTCAGCTTCTATACGTTCCTGTTCTCTGGCTTCTATTCCTTCAATGGCCTCTTGCATCTTATCCATTCTGCTTATAAATCCTTCCAGGGATTGTTTCACTTCTGTGATCTCGTTCCTGACATCTGTGATCTCCCTCCGGACTTCATCCCATTGCTCTTGCATTTTTCTCTGCATGTCATCCCATTGCTCTTGCATTTTTCTCTGCATCTCTGTCAGCATGTTCATGATTTTTATTTTGAATTCTTTTTCAGGAGGATTGGTTAGGTCTGTCTCCTTCTCAGGTGTTGTCTCTGTGATCTTTGTTTGCCTGTAGTTTTGTCTTTTCATGGTGATAGAGATAGTTTGCAGACCTGGTACGAGTGACCGCTGGAAGAGCTTCCCTTCCTGTTGGTTTGTGGCCTTCCTCTCCCCTTTCGCAAGGCGCTGGATTCTTGCAGATGTGGCTGTGGTCTGGATGTTGTCCTGTGTCCTCTGGTCTCTATTTTAGGAAGAGTTTTCTTTGTTATATTTTCATAGCTCTATGTGTTTTTGGGAGGAGATTTCTACTGCTCTACTCACGCTGCCATCCTGGCTCCGCCCCTGTAATGCTTTTTTTTAAAGGAGACATTCATCTCACATTGTTAGGCAGTAAGATTTGTTGCATGCCTACAACATACTATAATGATTTTTAGGCTAGATATTATTATTATCATTTTGCAGATGATGCAGTTGAAGCTCAGGGAGGTTAGCTGATTTTTCTAAGGCCATCTTAGGTAGGAACGAGGCAGAGCTAGGATTCAAAACTCCTGACTTTGCCAAGTCTGGTTTTCTTTTTACTATTATGCAGCTGCCTCTCTTAACATGGAGATGCAGGTCTTTTTTCTTGTTATTTATATAGATGAACTTGAAGCCCAGAGAAACTGTGATTTCCCCAAGATTACAAGCTGATAAATACAGAGCAGGAACCAGAGCCCAGGTCCCTGTTTCCTGGCCATGATTGAGTTTACACCCCTGGTTGTTTTATGTACAGTTCGACCTTTTCTTTCCTCAAAAATGAAGAGTTTAGAGAATTATAAATATCATTTTGAAGAAAAGAAATACTGTTTGGGAAGCAAAGTCAACTTTCAAGGCTCAAGTGCTTTGGAGCAGTGTATAATGGTAGGTTATTAGCCTGTGTATCAATATTTTTTTAAAATTAGGAACCTGTCCTTACCAGTGATGAGAAAAACATGGAAATAACCCCAGGAGAAAAGGTACTTCAGAACACCAAAGAGCAACGGGATCAGCAAAATCGGTTGAGAGAGATAGATGAAAAGCTGAGAAAGATGAAGGAAAATGTGGTAAGTCTTTTTTAATTTAAAGTTTAGTTGTGACCAATGACATTAAAAAAAGGTTCTAGTTTCCTTTGAATGTTTTATGACTGTTTTTATGTGTTAAATCAGTCAAGAAAACTGACATGGGAATTTGTCAGTAAGGATTTGAGTAGAAGCTAAAAATATGATTTATGGAACTTAAAGTTGTAGTATACTTAATTACAAATAAAACCTGTGAAATACTATCTGAAGTAGAAATAATGATCCATTATTCCTAATAATCTGTGTCCGACAATGACTAAATGTTCTTTTTGTGGAAAAATTTGATGGTTGGTCTTCAGAAAATCATCTTTATATATTGAACTTACAGCTTAAATATTCCAGCTTTTTATTCATAATTTGTTATTTATTATTACTCATTAATTTTAATGCATTCTAAATTTTTCTTGAGCCTATTTCATGTTTTAATTGTTTGCCATTGAAAGACATATAATTGCTGATGAGAGAAAGCTCTTAAAGCAAGTAAATTGTGAGCTGTTGATATTCTGAATGTATTAGAAATGCTCTATAATGTGATGGTTTTCCAGCTGTGAGGTTGCCAACTAGATACTTGGTTTTTACCTAAAATTAATCATGACAAGGCTAAACTTGTGATTTATCTACATCCTCTCCCTTGGGACTGATGGTGTCATAATTGCCTCAAGTACCTACTTTCTGTCTCCTACTAAATCCTTTCATCTTTGCTTATCTTCAAGCCTTGTTAAGTTTTAACTAATTTATCTAATTGTCGCCATATCTTACCACAATTCCTTTTGACTCTTTGAAAATCTTCTCTTTTTTGTGCCTACTTGTATCACCCTTCTCTCAGCATTGTCACTTCCTGTTTAGCCACTTATTAGCTAGTCACTCTCTTCTCTCGTTATGCCATTTTATACACTGCTCCATGGCAGTAGGCTTCAGGTAAGTAATTTTGATTAAACTCTGCTCCTCAGCGCTCCCCAAGAGCGGACACCCATCCCGGCTGAGATTCTCCACCCACCATGATCATATCCAGCTGAACTGCTGTTACCATTTGCCAGCATGGACAGCACACTGACCCAGAGCCTGAAGGATGGCAGGGTCTGTTCAGTGAGACTCAGGCAACAGATGGAAAGGGAATCAGTGCATTGTGCTTCTCTTTATATGTCATTTTTTTACTTTTCATGGGAAAGTTAATGGGAATTACATTTCAGAGACCCCTACTTTTATTTTCTGAGGGATGTTTTCTCTTCGAGTCTGTTGATATGGAGAAAAAGTAGAAGTAGGAATAGTTAGGAAGTTAGGGCTCTTGGCCAATAGCTGTGTTGGTGGTGATGGGGCACTGCAAACTTGATGTGGTAAATGAAATATTTGTGGTTTGACTGTTTTTGAAAGCTGTTGGCACTTCTCACTTCATATATGCTAATCCAAGGCAGGCAAATTCTGTCATTCTCCACCTCTCAGTCCTCCTGATTTCTGACCATTTATCATATGCCTTGGACATGTATCTATTCTTTTCTACCATGTCTCTATCATTATTTAAGTTTCGACTAAAAATCTGGTCCTTTAGGAAACCCAGTGTCATGGGAAGGTTGGCTAGACTTAAAGAGATGATAAATAAATATCAACAGTGGTTGTTATCTAAGTGGAAAGGATAATATATAAATAGAGAAGAGCGATTATTGTGTATATATATATGTCAGGCATTGTTCTGAGTACTTCATACCTTTTTAACTTATCTAATCTTCACAACCACTGTGAGGTAAGCACTGTTAGCCTCATTTTATAGATGAGGAAAGGGAGGCATGGAGGGGTTGAGAACTTCCTTAAGGTTATATAGCTACTAAGTGGAAGAGAGAGGATTCAAATGGTTAGCTTTAACAACAACACTATACTGCCTTTCTAGCATGTATTTGCTTGATTAATATTGTTTTTTTGTGAAATAAGTATGATACATTTGTTATAACCAGTAATATTCATGGGAAAAAAGTTTAGAATCCCTCTTATAAATAATAATTTCAGTTTTTAGTTTTATAGTTAACACTTTCAGAAACTGATAGATGATTAATGAAGGCACAAGAGTATTGATCTATGTTGTCTTTTTTGCTAGTGTTTCATAATATCCTCTGGATCATATTGTGTACCATGTGTGTACTTTTGAGGGAAGATACTGTGTCTGTTTCAAACTCTATGAAGTCCATTGTACCACATAGACTTCCAGATACTTTGTGGATTAGGAATTTGGAGACACAAGTCCTTGCTACAGTGTTGTCAGTATCCTGCTCTGTTACCTTGAGTAAGTCCCCTAGGCTCTTAGTGACTTAGTTTTATTACTTTAAAATCAAGGAGGTAGGGTTAGATGACCTGTCCTTTTGCCTGAGATTCTTGGCATACTTATATTTGGTGAGAGATGAGTTATTTACAGTATCTAAAACTCAGTTCGTGTGCTTCCTGAATACTTAGTACCAATTGGTTTAAATCTTCTATAGAAGTTACTTTTGGAGGTTTAGTAATGCTTTTTAGGAGAATGCGAGATTGTCTTTTATATATATTAAAAAGTTAGCCTGCTGTCTACAGGCCAGAGAATGTTTTCTGAATGATAGCTTCTGAAATGGCTAATTTTGCAGTTTTGTCTTATTCCTTTTTGCAGTGGAACAATTGCAATCAAGATCACTGATTTGGGTAAAATAAATAATTTTGATTGAATTGAATTGGTGATTTAAGGATAAAGTACATATTCAGTCTTAGGGATGGAAGGAGGAAATAGGGAGCTAAGCAGCATAGGAGCTCTGGGGGTACTCCTGGAGCTGGAAAAGTGACTGAATTCTGTTTCAGGTGGTAGGCTGAGGCTGTGGACACATTTGCCTTTGTCAAGATTGAGGAGGTGGGATTCAATTGGTCTGAAGGTGGTAGTGGTATTGGGGATATCAATGGAGCCATGTGTTAAGTGGGATGAACCAAGATTGGCTTAAAGATGGTGGTGTGAGAGGTGAGATAGAAACTTCCTCCCAAAACTGCATATAATATGAAAATATAGCAAATACAAATAATGCTGAAAGAGTAACAGGAAACAAGGCTGTGACAGACTGCCTACATCTGGGGAAAAGAGCAGACCTCATGGAAAAGGGTGAAGTACTAAAGCCATGATCTGGTGGGACCCAAGCCCTTCCCCTACCCCAGCTCACAAGTGGGAGGAAGAGAAATGGAGTGGGGAAAGATTGGAGTCCTAGGACTATTGAACACCCAGCCCTGAAGATCTGCCCTGGGAGCACCGACCTACCTTACATGGTGCTCTGGAGATTAGTGGGGTTGGAAAGCTAAGACAGGTGGAATACTTGGGGAGATTGAGATTCCAGCTGCTTGTGGAGAACAGCTACCCACAACTGGCCGCTGGGGGACTAAAGAAAAGTGGTCACTCTGAGAGATTTCCCAGCAGTGAGAGAGCTGCTAAAGGGGCAAGGATTACACAGAGCTTGTGGCTCAGAAGAAAGGACAGCTGGACAAAATTGTCCTGGCACACTCAGGCCAGCAGGTTGGGAAATTTCAGGAGCTCTGGCTGACAACATAGCCCTGAGGCCCCCCACTGTGATACACAGCCTGCTGCTCCTTCCTTACAGCTGGCACTAGCTCACAAACCTGCTGCCCCTGCCATTGTGCCAGACCTGCCAGAGGGCATCCCCACCTATGGCAGCTACAAGGGTGAACCATAAAGGCTCCTCCCTGCATGGTTGGCCCACTGGCCCTGCCAGTAGAGGCATGCACTGCAGCAGGGAAGCAGGAAAGAGCACTTTACTCCTGGCAGGCAGCTGCACCACTCACGTGTGACCCCCGCAATCACTCCAGGGATGGAGTAGCACCAGAGAATAGAGCTTCTGGGCACTAGAGGGCGTTGTCTACACCAAGTTATTATTACAAATATGAAACATCAAAAGAACCTGGTACAAACCCAAATCCTACAAACACCAGAAAGAGGGCCAAATGAAAGTGAGCTCACTAATCTTCCTTAAAGAGATTTCAAAATAAAAACCATAAATATGCTCACAGAGCTACAAAAAAATAGTCAAGACCTCAGGGAGGAATTCAAGAAAGGGATTGAAAATTTGAAAAATACAGTATCTGAAACAAAACATACAATGGAGGAATTTAAAGCAGATTAGATGAAGTAGAGGAGACAGTAAATGAAATGGAAATTAGAGAACAGGAATACAAAGAAGCTGAGGCACAGAGACAAAAAAAGGATCTCTAGGAATAAAAGAATATTAAGAGAACTGTGTGACAATTTCAAGTGGAACAATATTTACATTATAGGGGTACAAGAAAAGAAGAAGAAGAGATAAAAAGGAATAGAAAGTGTCTTTGAGGAAGTAATTGCTGAAAACTTCCCCAGTCTTGGGAAGTAGAAGTCTCTCAGCCCATGGGGGGTGCACAGATCTCCCAACACAAGAGACCCAAGGTAGACAACACCAAGACATATAATAATTAAAATGGCAAAAATCAAGGATAAGGACAGACTTTTAAAAGCATCCAGAGAGAGAAAAAAGATCACATACAAAGGAAACCTATCAGGCTATCATCAGGCTTCTCAACAGAAACCTTACAGGCCAGAAGGGAGTGGAATGGTATATTTAATGCAGTGAAACAGAAGAGCCTTGAACCAAGAATAGTCTACCCGGAAAGATTATCATTTTAATCTGAAGGAGGGATTAAATAATTTCCAGATAAGCAAAAGTTGAGAGAATTTACCTCTCACAAACCATCTCTACAGTGTATTTTGGAGGGACTGCTGTAGATGGAAGTGTTCCTAAGGCTAAATAGCTGTCACCAAATAAAATAAAGCCACAGTAAAGGAAGTAGAACAATTAATTACTAAGCAAATGCAAAATTATATCAACTACCCCAAAAGTCAGTCAAGGGATACACAAAGAGTATAGAATATGACACCTAATATATAAAAAATGGAGGAGGAAGAAAAGAAGGGAGGGAAAAAAGAAAAGAACCTATAGATTGTG